CATTACTCTAAAAGTGTCACTTAATTAGCACTAGAGTCTAATGACATTCTCTCAATTTATAAGTGAGAGGTCTTAGTTCAACCTCATAGATATACATGGCGAGTTCATATCAAATTTTATGAAAATTCATTGTGCGACTTAACTCAATTTCTTTCACCCTTATCTCTTAGAAGTGATGGAGTCACATGGAGGCCAATGGCCTACCCTGAAAATTCAGCTTATCTATGTACTCTCAGCAAGGCTTATCAAAGGGGTGTGATAGCCACACACCCCTTTTTACTTCTTTCACACCCTTTTAATTTTTGACCGTCGGATCGGATGAATTGAAGAAGATCAAATAACAGAAATTAACAAGGGTGTGGGAGAAGTAAAAAGGGGTGTGTGGAAAGCACACCCCCTTATCAAAATGAGCATGTGGCTCATTGGCCACTGGGATTTTGCAACTCCAAATGACTTGGGTTCGAGACTTCCTAATGTTTTAGTATTTTATTAGGAAAACTAATGAAAATGGTTTGAAATTTTAAATTTTAACGATAAAGACAAAATAAAAGGTAAAGTGATTAGTATTAGAATTCACTTTTTAGTGTAAAAATGTGGTTTTTCGTTAAAGTAAACAGTACCTGAAGCTTTTCGTTAAAATTCCCTATTTTATTAGATTCTTTTAAACTGAAAGAAAAAAAAAATTCTTGTAATTTGCCTTATTTTTTACCATATTAAAACTAACCCTTATTTTTTAACATGTAAAAACCATACCCTCTTTTTTGGCTAGTCGATATAAAAAAATGCATATACAGTCTAGAACAAAATCTAATTTTAAGTCGTGATTTTAAATTTTTATACGACTCTAATGTGTTGATTTTTTTTTTATCAAAGCTCATTAACAAGTTTTGTTTTTAGGATAAATTCATTTCAATACTAGGCTTTTCATACCAAATTTAAAGCTCCACTACTCTTGTTTGATTAAAAGTTTCCATGCCAATACGAAAAACAAAACCTTTAATTTTTCACATTAATTATATTTCAAAGGCTAATCTTTCTATGACTTAAAGGTCCATCCTGATCTCGTTATTTGACTCCGTCACTGTCTATTGTATTAGAAAAAGATTATTCGCACAACCAAAGTGAATTTTAAATAAATAAACAACTGAAATCATATGATGAATAAAAATGGGAGATTTACCCGTAGAAAAAAAAAGCCTGTAGAAAAATGCCTAGATTCTTAACAAGGTGAATAGGCGATCATGTTCCGCGCGCAAATTCTTGAAGGAGAGACCACAACGTTCAATATCTTTTATCTTGGTAGTTTCTGCAGCTCAGCATATGCTCTTTTTCCATCCCCACAGCTCCAAATTCTCTGCAGATTTTCTTAAGATTCTTGGCGTCATCGTTGACCTTTGCGTACTCAACTCTGCAAGATAAGTAGGGTTCATGCTAGCCAGATAGAAGTTGCAAACCATCATCGACGAATTCAGAGACTATTGACCTATATTCGGAGACAGATTAATGGTTTTCATTGAGAGGTCAAAGAATTCCTTGCTCAAGATTTCCTACGTACGGCCCAAAAACAAAACAATTAAATTATTAGAGGGGGAGAGTAACAAGCCATTCGATATCATGTTTTTTTTTTTTTTGTTAGATTAAATGTTAGATTAGTCATCGACGAAGTTTAAACCCACGTCGTTATGTAAGGAATCAACACCTTTTTACCATTGTGGTAAATGACCATTTACGATATCATGTTAAAATAACATAAAGAGAGAGGAAGTTATGCATGCATGTTGAGAGTGAGTACGTAGTAATAATGTACGTGTACAAGGGAAATAGTAAGAATTAATCTACCTTTTCACGTAGTCCCATCTACTCGAATGAATCCCATGTTGGTGTAGGCGAGTCCATGAGGGATGCAAGGGAGAACAATTGAGAACTAGAGAAAGGGAATTGTGCAAATTCTAGGGTAAATTGATGAATTTTCTCATTAGTTGTTTACTTTTATTGTGTAGACATGTGAAGAAACAATAAACTCATGCGATAAATATAATTGAAGATGACAAAATTGAATCTATTGTTATTTTTTATGTCATTATTAAACAATCTATTGAGATTTTTTTAAACTTTTATCTCACTGAGACGAAACTAAGACGTGCACGGAAACAACATAATTTGAGATTTCTATGTCCCTCCAAAAAGGGAAGAGATCCCCTTTGGATTTCTCCCACCAAATCCTAAGGATCCGAAGATCCGGACCCTTGAAATTTGATCAAACGGCTATAAATAAGGAGTCTCTCTAAAAGATATAATAATTGTAACCGTTTGATCAAATTTTAATTGTTCGGATCTTCGGATCCCTAGGACTTGGTTGGAGAGATCTGGAGGGGATCTCCAATCCAAGTCATATAACTCATAATTTGGGTCTCCATCCAAATAATCTTCAATAAGTCCAAATTTCGTGAAATGTTATTAATTCATAGTATGCTCTTCGCAAAGAGAAATTTTTAATGTCACCATCACATGACTATAGCATAGTTACGTGGTGTTATTAGCTTATGAGTTATTATACATGTATAGAAAAATTCAATATTTTCTTAATCTATTCATGCGATAATTTTGTTATAAATTTTTTTATGTATATATACCACATGACACTACGAAAAAGGTATTAAAAATCTCTCGAAATTGATATTTCTTCCCATACAATTCAAGTTCACATCTTAAGTAAAAGATGTGAAATTTCTAAGGGTAAAGTACAAAAAACTACCTCAACTATTGGTGTCACGACACTTTCATACCTCATCTTTTAAAATTGACAATGTCATACCTCATTTTACGAATTTGTGCCAATGTTATACCTACCGTTAGCCTGCCGTTAATTTGTTAGTTAAATACTGATGTGGCTTGATCCAGACCTCACTTTCTATTAAAAAAATAATAAAATATTTAAAAAAACTAAAAAAAAATTCGTTTAATATTTCTAAATATTAAAATAATAAAGAAAAGTTAAAAAAAAAAAAGTCAAAACCTTTCGTCCCATCCACCCCCTCCCCCCTTCTCTCTCCCCATCTTTTTCTTCCTTGCGTAATCTTCAACCAAAAAAAAATAAAAATAAAAAATTTGAAAACCCATCAACCCCACCCCCCCCCGGCCCCGAAGAAGAAGAAGAAGAATAAGAATCCTTGCGTAATCTTCAACCAAAAAAAAATAAAAATAAAAAATTTGAAAACCCATCAACCCCACCCCCGCCCCCCCCCCCCCGGCCCCGAAGAAGAAGAAGAAGAATAAGAAGGAGAAAAAGGAGGAAGAAGAAGAAGAAGAAGAAGAAAAAACCCAACCCAGTTCGTCCCTCCAAAACAAGAAGAAGAAGAAGAAAAAAAAAACCCCAACCCAGTTCGTCCCCTCCAAAACAAATCCAACCCCTTGCAACAAAGAAAAATAAGGAGGAGGAAGAAGAAGAAGAAGAAGAAGAAGAAAAAACCCCATAAAAAAACTCATATCTTGTTCGCCAGACCAATTCCATGAGAGATGGGTGCAAGGTTGGGTGGGTGTGGAGGGTGGATGCGAGGGGAAGACGAACTGGGATTTTTCTGGGTTGCAGGTAAGGGCTTGGGTGGGAGAGAAGAGGGGTGGGGTGGGGGGATGGGAAGAATAAAGAAGGACGTGGGGGTGGGGGAAGGGTGGGAAGGGATGAAGTTTTTTTTTTTTTTTTTCTTCTTTTGTTTTCTGGGTTGCAGGCTTGCAACAGGTAGATGAGGGAGGGAAGGGGGAAAGGGACGAAATGTTTTGTTTTGTTTTGTTTTTTGTTTTTTACTTTTCTTTATTATTTAAATATTTAAAAAATATTAAATGATTTTTTTTTCTAGTTTTTAATAATATTTTATCAATTTTTTTTAATAGAAAGTGGGCTCTGAATCAAGCCACGTCAGCATTTAACTGAGAAATTCACACCAAGCTAACGGAAGGTATAACATTGACACAAATTCGTAAGATGAGATATGATATTGTCAATTTTAAAAGATGAGATATGAAAGTGTCGTGACACCAATAATTGAGATAGTTTTTTTGTACTTTACCCAATTTCTAACTAAATTAATCCCTTGTGGGATGTATTTGAAGTGAGAGGTCTACCTTTGACTACTTATACATAACTTTTGACGTCAAATTTGAGTGTTAAAGATTCTTGTGCATAATAGTATTAGATGATTTTAATACTTTTTCTTTTCATGAAACAAAAGTCGGGTGAAATATTAAAAATGAGTGAATTATTTTATAAAAAGGGCGTTATCTTCAATGGTATCCTAGTATGGACAAGTGAGTAGCTCGTTTTTTTATCAGTTAGATTGACATGTTTAATAAAAAGGAAAACTAATGTAAAAAAATTTAAAAATTTTATGTTTTAACGATAAAGACAAGATAAAAGGCAAAGTGAATAGTACAAAGATTGATTTTTGAGTGTACAAATATAATTTTTTGTTAAAGTAAACAGTATCGGAAGGTTTTCGTTAAAGTTTCCTTTATAAAAAGGTATTCATTCAATTAAATTATGATTGTCCATTTTTTATAGGACTTCGGATAAAAAATACAAGAATTATTATTAGCACTTCAAAAATCTTATTTTGCATTCTAAATTCTTTTAATAAATAGAAAGATTGTGACAGGCGTATAATAAAATTTGTCAACTGCTAACAACACTTTCCAAAAAAAAAATAAATGAACTTTCAAAAAGGTTTGACTGCAATACGGCACCGTTTCTTATTTAAAGATAGGTCACAGTCAGGTGACAATGATATTTTGGGCAAAATGTGTCGATGCAAAAGTTAGGATGTGCTTTTGACAGTATTGTACACAGCGAGGCAAAGCTCTTCTTCTTTCTTCTTTCTTCCATTCAATTGATTATTCCAATTCTTTCAATCCAAACGCGGCCTTACGATGTCCGATGATTCAATCCGGTTCAGCTAGGGTTTGATCGATCGGAAATAGAAGAAAAACTGGGCGCTGTGGCAGAGCCCGTAAATAACCGTCAGAGCTGGGGGCGATTCAGTCTCGGTCTCAGGCCGCGGCCTCTGTGCCTCCACCGGGTCGACCCGGCTCCGGACTCTGGTTCTTTCTTCGCCACCACAATGCACCTCGCACCCACACCCTCCACTTCCTCCCGCACGTAGAATCCGTGAGCCGCCAGGCACCCGATCAAAGCCCCTCACCCGCACCGGCACCCGCACCCGCGCTGATGGACAGCTCCAATAACTCCTCCAATTCTTCTTCCCGTTCTGCCCCCGCCGTCGTCGAGGAGCCGGAGTACCTCGCCCGCTACTTGGTCATCAAGCACTCGTGGCGTGGCCGCTACAAGCGAATTCTCTGCCTCTCGAACGTGGCCATAACCACCTTGGACCCCGCCACGCTCTCCGTCACCAATTCCTACGACGTCGCCACCGATTTTGACTCCGCCGCGCCGATCATCAGCCGCGACCAGAACTCCAACGAGTTCAATTTGAGTGTTCGGACGGACGGACGGGGGAAATTCAAAGGCATTAAGTTCTCGTCTAGGTACAGAGCGAGTATACTGACCGAGTTGCACAGGATTAGGAGGAATCGGTTGGGCGCCGTCGCTGAGTTTCCGGTGCTTCATCTCCGGCGCCGGAATGCCGAGTGGGTCCCATTCGTAAGTTACTTCTCTTCCAATGCTTGTTAGTGTTTGTGCAATGTCGTTTTACTGTGCCAATTTGATAGTAGAAGAATCAGTAGGCAGTTCACAACTTTGTTAGTCGAAGATTCGATGGTAATAATCTGATTGCTTCAAACCCATGAGCAAATTTGCCTTGGAAGAGTAGAGTTTTAGTGCAAAGTATGCTTCTTTACCGAATAGTTTTAGGCTTTAGTATCGAATTTATGAAATTGGGAGACTAGTAGTATGCTTCTTTACCGAATAGTTTTAGCATTGAATTTATGGAATTCGGGAGACTGGTAGTTTGCTTCTTTACCGAATAGTTTTAGCATAGAAGTTATGGAACTGGGGAGAATAATCAGAAATGGGTTTACTTTTCATGCCGTTACTACTTGTACAAAAGAAAAAAGTAGACTTGAACACTGCTGTCTTGAATTTTGGATGAATGTATGTTGCTTGCAAGTATATGTCGTTAATGATTTTTACTAAACTGATGTTTATTTGAATGTTGATAATATTTGAGTGGTCTGTTATGTTGACGGACATGTTCGTTTTGCTCTTTATAAGTATTAGACTGATTTTTTGTAACGATTGATGGCCTTGCAGAAATTAAAAGTTACTTATGTTGGGGTTGAACTTATTGATTTAAAAAGTGGAGACCTCCGTTGGTGCTTGGATTTCAGAGATTTTGATTCGCCTGCCATTGTTTTCCTTTCTGATGCTTATGGGAAGAAAGGCGGTGAACATGGAAGTTTTGTTCTTTGTCCTTTATATGGAAGAAAATCTAAAGCTTTTCAAGCTGCTTCTGGAACCACGAATTCAGTTATCATTGCAAGTTTGGTACGACTAACCGTGAGCTATCAATTTTTTTTTTGAACATTTCTTTTAAACTTTATGTCAATGCTCATTTACTGTAAGTTCAACTTTATGTATGAAGTGCCCCCCTAAAAAACCCTTTTGTGCTGAGGGATTATTTTTTAATAAGCCTCTTGAATCAGTACTTATTGTAATGCATTTCATGCAGACCAAAACAGCAAAATCTATGGTGGGGTTGTCACTAATTGTGGACACTTCTCAGTCTCTCACTATACCAGAGTACATAAAGCGAAGGGGTAGCACTTTATAACCCTTTTCTAGGGGCTCTTTGTAGTAGTTATCTTCTTTTCTTGTTCTTTCTGTGTTCCAGCAACATTGTCTATTTGGCTGTTCATTAATCAATTTATCTGGTAATGCAGCAAAAGAGGCAGTTGGAGCAGAAGAAACTCCATGCGGAGGTTGGTCTGTGACAAGGTTGCGCTCTGCTGCTCGTGGAACTTTAAATGTTCCAGGGTTGAGTTTGAGTGTTGGCCCAAAAGGTGGACTTGGGGAGAATGGTGATGCTGTATCTCGTCAACTGATTCTTACAAAAGTTTCTCTTGTTGAAAGACGCCCAGAGAACTATGAAGTAAGCTGATGAATTTACTGAAACAAACTTTAGGTTGGTGACATGAAGGTCGGGGCATTAGTCTTGAACTAGGCTTCCTTTATAAAAGATGTCTAAATTTAAGCATTTACCTCGCCGTCCCTGGAATGAATAAGAAAACAAGTGCTACATTTCAGATGAATGAATAAACTCTTAACAAAATAAAGGACCCCTTTTGCCCAGGACCCAAAGCCCATGCAATTTTTGTACATAAACAAATTATAAGAATGGAATAATGAAAATTTAAATTCTTTAAAACTTTTTTGGCTTTTACTTCTGTATATACTAGCATTTCATGGAATTATATCAAATGTTGAGAATAGTCACTAGATGTGTGCAGGCTGTTATTGTTCGACCTTTATCTGCAGTATACGCACTTGTTCGATTTGCTGAGGAGCCCCAAATGTTTGCAATTGAGTTCAATGATGGGTGTCCCATCCATGTGAGCATAACCTTCCTTTTGAATTCCAGGTTTATCACGAGGTCATGTTTCTGATGTGTATGATGGATTGTAGGTTTACGCAAGCACGTCTCGTGATAGCCTACTGGCAGCAGTTCGGGATCTATTGCAAACAGAAGTAGGTAGATCCGTGCTCTTGTAAATATCGATCAGGTTTTACCCATGAATTTCTTCCATAATGCAATGATTTCTCTTCATGGGCCTGGGTTGAGCGTTTGGTTTAATTTGTGCAGGGCCAATGTGCTGTGACTGTGTTACCAAGACTGACAATGCCTGGGCATCGCATTGATCCACCTTGCGGGAGGGTCCAATTACAATTTGGACTCCAGCAGGCTGTTGCAGATATGGAGAGTGCATCTATGCATTTGAAACACTTCGCAGCAGCTGCCAAGGATGCAGTTTCTGAAGGTGGTTCTATTCCTGGATCAAGAGCTAAGCTATGGCGTAGAATAAGAGAGTTCAATGCATGTATACCATATAGTGGAGTTCCCCCGAACATAGAAGTACCTGAGGTGACTTTGATGGCTTTAATAACAATGCTTCCATCTACGCCAAATCTTCCTCCAGAGTCCCCTCCCTTACCTCCACCTTCACCTAAAGCGGCTGCGACGGTGATGGGCTTTATTGCATGCTTACATAGATTACTAGCTTCAAGAACTGCTGCTTCACATGTCTTGTCTTTTCCTGCTGCTGTTGGAAGAATAATGGGCTTACTCAGAAATGGTTCAGAGGGTGTAGCTGCTGAAGCAGCAGGCCTTGTCGCAGTACTTATTGGTGGTGGTCCCGGGGATACAAATATACTAATGGATTCTAAAGGAGAGCAGCATGCCACAATTATGCACACAAAGTCAGTGTTGTTTGCCAATCATGGTTATGCTATTATACTCTCCAACAGACTTAAGCCTATGTCTGTATCACCATTATTGTCAATGGCTGTTGTTGAGGTTCTTGAGGCTATGATATGTGAACCACATGGTGAGACAACACAATACACAGTGTTTGTTGAGCTGTTACGCCAAGTAGCTGGTTTGAAGCGTCGTTTGTTTGCATTGTTTGGACATCCGGCTGAAAGTGTTAGGGAAACAGTGGCTGTGATCATGCGTACAATTGCGGAAGAAGATGCAATTGCAGCAGAGTCAATGCGTGATGCTGCATTGCGCGATGGTGCTCTACTGAGGCATTTATTGCATGCGTTCTTCCTTCCTCCTGGTGAGCGACGTGAAGTTAGTCGACAGCTTGTTGCTCTTTGGGCAGATTCTTATCAGCCAGCTCTGGATTTATTGTCTAGAGTTCTGCCTCCTGGGCTTGTTGCTTATTTGCACACACGTTCTGATGGAACTCAATTGGAAGATGCGAATCAAGAAGGATCCTTGACCAGCAGAAGGCAGAGACGCTTACTCCAATTGAGGAAAGGTCGTGCAGGGAGAGGACCAACATCTCAAGAGCATTCCTTACCTAATATAAACAATTCTGAAGTTGGTGATCCCATGACACAGACAGGTGGTGGTGCTTTTAAGGCTGATAGCAATCAAAGGTCTGCACTGGTTTCGAGTTCTGGACAGGCTTCTATTCTTCAATCTTCTGTTGCTCAAAGTCAAACCGGTGAAAATTTGATGGCTGAAGTCTTTTCAGGTGTTCCACAAAAGAATCATTCAGCACTTGTGGCGTCAGCTGATATTCAGTCAACGAGCATTCATGAGGCAGTGGAAGCAAATACTTCAATCTCATCTGATTCTGATTCCAATACTACTGGTTTCCAGAGCACAGGCCTCCCTGCTCCTGCTCAGGTTGTTGTTGAAAACACTCCGGTGGGATCTGGCAGGCTACTTTGTAATTGGCCTGAATTCTGGCGAGCATTTAGCCTTGATCACAATCGTGCAGATTTGATCTGGAATGAGCGTACCCGGCAAGAGTTGAGGGAGACTTTGCAGGCTGAGGTTCATAAGTTAGATGTTGAGAAGGAGCGTACTGAAGATATTGTTCCAGGAGGTGCTATGGTAGAGACTGCGACTGGTCAAGATAGCGTGCCACAAATATCTTGGAACTACTCTGAGTTCTCTGTTAGATATCTAAGCTTGTCCAAAGAAGTTTGTGTGGGTCAGTATTATCTGCGTTTACTGCTTGAGAGTGGCAGTGTTGGCAGGGCAAAAAAATTTCCATTGCGCGATCCAGTTGCATTCTTTAGAGCACTCTACCATCGGTTCTTATGTGATGCAGACATAGGACTTACCGTAGATGGTGCTGTTCCAGATGAAATGGGTGCATCTGATGATTGGTGTGACATGGGAAGACTAGATGGTTTTGGAGGTGGAGGAGGATATTCAGTGAGAGAGCTCTGTGCAAGAGCGATGGCAATTGTGTATGAACAGCATTACATGACAGTGGGTCCCTTTGAGGGCACTGCTCACATCACAGTCCTTTTGGATAGGACAGATGATAGGGCTTTAAGGCACCGCCTTCTTTTGCTCTTGAAGGTACAAGTCTTTTATTCTTTATTTCTCTAGAAATACAAATTGGCTTGACATCAGTTTGGGTTTCAGTAGGGGTAGTTTGCGAAGATAGGTTGGGAACACTTACAAAAAAGTTGGGTATGAAAATTCTTTAAATTTGTTTTGTCTATGCAAAATCTTTGCTGTCCTTTCACTCGCTAGTTACCTCTCCATTGTGTAATCAGGAATAACATCCGACAAATACATATGTAGGTTGTAATTCAGATTGGTTTTCTCTCTTTCTCATATATATATATATTCATAAATAAAAGCTGTATGCATTTATTGATATGCTTCCTTTCTGGATGTGTGTGACAAACTGCTGAGAGTTCACCAACAAGGCATCGAGACATTCTCATTGCCTTTACTATGCACCAGGGTTCCAAGTTTTGCCACCCTTTTGTTTTGTAGGTTAACCACTTGTCATCCTTGTAAATGGAAATGGCCTTTTCATTTTCATTTTCAGTTCAGTATGGGGAAGGTGATAACTTTCTATAGTTTACTGTTTGTGAAGGCGTTAATGAAGGTTTTGTCAAATGTGGAGGTGTGTGTTTTGGTGGGAGGATGTGTGTTAGCTGTTGATATGCTAACAGTAGCTCATGAGGCTTCTGAAAGGACAGCTATTCCTTTGCAATCTAATTTGATTGCTGCTACTGCTTTTATGGAACCGCTCAAGGAATGGATGTTTATTGACAAGGAAGGAGCACAGGTTGGACCTGTTGAAAAGGATGCCATTAGGAGATTTTGGTCAAAGAAGGATATTAACTGGACAACGAGATGCTGGGCTTCTGGGATGTTGGACTGGAAGAGATTGCGGGATATCCGTGAACTTCGTTGGGCTTTAGCTGTTCGAGTCCCTGTTCTCACGCCAACTCAGGTGTAGTTTTAATATGCATGGGACTTAAAAAGTTGGTCTATGTTGTAACAATTGTGTACTTTTTGTTTCTAGAAGCAGTTTGGTCTCTGCAAATCTTTGCTGCACTTGTAGCTCTAGTTTCAAGTAATTATAATGGGTGCTAAACTTGTAGATAAAATATCAAATGCTTTTTTCTATTTGTTATCTCCTAGACGTGTTAATGTTCAATTTATTGATCTCCTAAAATTGGTTTATCATAGATTTTCATTGAATTTCATGGTAAGGTACATCTGAATATTACCTCAGTTAATTGAATACATAAGGATACATCTATCAAAACATTTTAAAATAATCGGGGTGAATGCTTTTTGATTAAGTCTCTTTTATATCTTTTGTCTACTATATTGTAGAAAAGTTGCCATTTTCTTGTCTCTTCTCATTTTATATGCTTGACATGTTCTAGCATATGGTTTCTGTATTCAGATTGGTGAGGCAGCATTGTCCATATTACATAGCATGGTATCTGCACATTCAGATTTAGATGATGCTGGAGAGATAGTTACCCCAACTCCTACAGTAAAATGGATCTTGTCAAGTCCACGCTGCCTTCCACATATTGCTCAGGTGATTCTAGCATAGTTCATTTTCAATTTTTTTTTTATGTGGCCCTTATTAAGAAGTATCGTGAAAAGCATTATTATATCACTATGTATTTTTCCAAATTTATTTAGGCTATGCTTTCTGGAGAGCCAAGTATTGTAGAGGGTGCTGCTGCTTTACTTAAGGCCGTTGTAACTAGAAATCCCAAGCCCATGATTCGACTATACAGCACAGGGGTATTTTATTTTGCCCTGGCATATCCTGGATCTAATCTCCTTTCAATCTCCCAACTCTTCTCATTGACTCATGTTCATCAAGCATTTCATGGTGGTGAAGACGCTGCAGTTTCCTCTTCCTTGCCTCTGGCGAAACGCAGTGTATTGGGTGGGCTTCTTCCTGCATCTTTGTTGTATGTATTGGAACGTAGTGGTCCAGCTGCATTTGCAGCTGCAATGGTATCGGACTCTGATACTCCAGAGATTATATGGACACACAAGATGCGAGCGGAAAATCTGATTCGTCAGGTATTTGAAGCTTTAAATGAGTAATGTGTTTTGTTACTATTATGTATAGAGAGTATTAATTATCTCAAAATATTTTCTTCGTCCAGATTTTGCAGCATCTTGGTGACTTTCCTCAGAAATTGTCTCAGCACTGCCATTCTTTATATGAATATGCTCCAATGCCACCAGTGACATACCCAGAGTTAAGAGATGAAATGTGGTGTCACTGTTATTACCTCCGGAACTTGTGTGACGAGATTCGATTTCCAAATTGGCCAATTGTTGAACATGTTGAGTTCCTACAATCATTATTAGTAATGTGGCGTGAGGAGTTGACAAGACGGCCAATGGATCTTTCTGAAGAAGAAGCTTGCAAAATATTAGAGATTTCCTTGGAAGATGTATCAAATGATGATGCCAACACAAGGCATTCTTTTGAGATGGGTGAGGAGATGCCTAGCATATCCAAGCAGATTGAGAACATTGATGAAGAAAAGCTTAAACGGCAATATAGGAAACTTGCCATGAGATACCATCCAGACAAAAATCCTGAAGGAAGGGATAAGTTTCTTTCTGTACAGAAAGCTTATGAGCGCCTGCAGGTACATACTGCCCCACAGAACTGGTCTTTGTTTAACGAGCATGCTTAAAATATTGGTTATGTGCACATGTCCAAAATTCATTTTGCTCCAAAATCTCTAGAAATTCATTGCAGTTGGATGTTGGTCATTTTCGGTATGTCAAAGATGACCATGAAAATTACCTGAACGAACCTATTTCTTTTCTAGACTTGTACTGGGCATCTAAGTCTTTTATGTATGTAGTGGATGCCATTTTTCCGGCTTAGTATTCTATATTCTGTAAATATTGGTTGTGCACCTCAGTGCCTGTGTATTTGAGTATTTTTCTTTGATGCATCCTTTTAAGCCTTTGGATATGCATCTTTTCAGAGTGCATTTGTAATCTTGTTAATGTGTATTGGAGCTATACAAAGTTCTATGTAGCCGTAGGTATCTAATTTTATTTTATTGTGTGTGGACAGACGATGATAGGTATTCTTCCTTCTGTTAAGATATTTGATAACTCTGTATTATTGTTTGTAGGCCACTATGCAAGGCTTGCAAGGCCCTCAGCCTTGGCGACTGTTGCTTTTATTGAAAGGACAGTGTATCTTGTACAGACGCTATGGAGTCATTCTGGAGCCATTTAAATATGCTGGTTATCCAATGTTGCTCAATGCAGTTACTGTGGACAAGGATGATAACAATTTTCTTTCCTCAGATAGAGCACCCCTCCTGGTTGTGGCATCAGAGCTTATTTGGCTGACGTAAACACCCTTTAATCCACTTTTTCATATGTTTTATTATTCAAACTGATGTGGACAGGAAGATATCATATGTTTTTATATTTCCATGATTAGGTGTGCATCTTCTTCATTGAATGGAGAAGAGCTTGTGAGGGATGGTGGCATACAACTTCTTGCAAATCTTCTTTCGCGTTGCATGTGCGTAGTTCAGCCGAGCACTGCTGCAAGTGAACCATCTGCCATAATTGTTACAAATGTGATGCGAACCTTTTGTGTTTTGAGTAAATTTGAGAGTGCCTGGGCTGAGATCCTTGAATATTCTGGACTAGTTGATGACATTGTGCATTGCACTGAACTTGAGCTTGTACCTTCTGCTGTCGATGCTGCTGTCCAGACTATTGCACATGTGTCTGTGTCCACTGAATTGCAGGATGCTTTGCTGAAGGCTGGTGTCTTATGGTAAGTCAGCTTACCCAAATGTTACTTTAAATATTAAATGCAAGATTGCTCATTGCTCATTGCTCAGTTAAATGTCAAATTAGTCTGCCATCTCCATTAGTTGATTTTATCTGCATTTAGTTATGAGTGACTTCTAAGGTTGGATATGGGAGAATACAATTGCTTATTAATTCTTGGTGTCAATGGTGTTTCATTGTGAATCCATTGACTGTCACTTTATCTCACTGTGTCTCAAACTTGTAGTTTCTTAGTGATACTTGGTAGAACTGATTGTTATGCTATGTTTTTATGTAAAAAGAGCAATTAATCTTCATCTTCGTTGTGTTCCATTGTGTGTGCTTGCTTTTAGGTACCTTTTGCCCTTGCTTCTTCAGTATGACTCCACTGCAGAGGAATCTGATGCAACAGAATCACATGGAGTTGGTGCTAGTGTACAAATTGCCAAAAATATGCATGCTGTACGTGCCTCGCAGGCACTATCAAGGCTTAGTGGCTTGTGTAGTGATGAGAGTACAACACCCTATAATCAGACTGCAGCTGCTGCCCTCAGAGCTTTGTTGACACCTAAGCTTGCCAGTATGTTAAAAGATGAAGCACCGAAAGACCTACTATCTAAACTAAACAATAACTTGGAGTCACCAGAGGTAATTGCTCTAGTTTCTGTATTTATAGTTTTTATGACGGTAAATTTTTATGCATGCTTTCATATAGCATACTCTCTTCTACTTAACAAAAAAATAATGCAATACATAGTTTGTAACATCCGTATCTGGGTCACTTGGTTGCGTTGCAATGTTAGTTTCTTTATGGTTGATTGTATTATTTATTTGTGTACTAGATTATCTGGAACTCCTCAACCCGAGCAGAACTACTGAAATTTGTGGATCAGCAACGTGCAAGTCAGGGTCCTGATGGTTCATATGATATGAAAGATTCACATCTGTTTGGGTATAAGGCACTATCAAAAGAACTATATGTTGGCAATGTTTACTTGAGGGTCTATAACAATCAACCAGATTCTGAGATCAGTGAACCAGAGGCTTTCTGTGTTGCATTAGTTGATTTTATAGCATATCTTGTGCACAATCAATGTGCTACTGATTCTGAAATTAAGGATGTACCAAATCAGAATGGCTCGTCCCTTGAGACACCTGAGGATTCTAATGATGCGGCTATTGGATCAACTGATGAACAGAATACTCCGGCTGAAGATTCTGCACTATCTAATGGACAAGTAGTAGATAAGGAAGAATTTGAAGCTGCTAAGAACCTTAAATTTGCATTGAATTCACTTAAGGTATCTTGCTCTCTTGTTGTGTTAAGTTCCAAACTTAAAAATTTGTTTATGTATCTGACCTTTTTTCCCTTTTTTTCTTTGCAGAACTTACTGACAAGCAGTCCAAATTTGGCGTCAATTTTTTCTACAAAAGATAAGTTATTGCCTCTTTTCGGGTGCTTTTCTGTGCCTGTTGCATCAGAAAGCAACATTCCTCAACTTTGCCTGAGTGTGTTGTCACTCTTGACTACATATGCTTCCTGCTTGGAGGCTATGGTTGCAGATGGATCAAGCCTTCTTCTTTTATTACAAATGCTTCACTCAGCCCCAACTTGTCGCGAAGGGGTTCTTCATGTTCTTTATGCTCTGGCCAGCACACCTGAACTTGCTTGGGCAGCTGCCAAGCATGGGGGAGTTGTCTACATCCTTGAACTTCTTTTGCCTTTGCAGGGTAAATACTTTTTGTATCTTTTCCTATTTTTTAAAATTAACTTAGAAGATTAACATTTTTTTATGATATGAATCATAATTTGCAGAAGAAATTTCCTTACAACAAAGAGCAGCAGCAGCCTCTTTGTTGGGGAAGCTTGTTGGCCAGCCAATGCATGGGCCTAGAGTTGTTATAACATTAGCAAGGTTTCTTCCAGATGGCTTGGTTTCAGTTATTAGGGATGGACCTGGTGAGGCTGTTGTAGTTGCCCTTGAACAGACTACTGAGACCCCAGAACTTGTATGGACACCAGCAATGGCTACTTCATTGTCTGCACAGATTTCAACTATGGCATCAGATCTGTATCGCGAACAGATGAAAGGTCGTGTGGTTGATTGGGATGTACCTGAGCAGGCATCTGGACAGCAAGAAATGAGAGATGAGCCACAGGTAGGACATGGTTATGCCGTATTAACATGTAAGTGTCTTATTGTTTGGAAAACTCACAGTTTCCAGCTCATGCAGGTTGGCGGAATCTATGTTAGATTATTCCTAAAAGATCCCAAGTTTCCTCTCAGAAATCCCAAGAGATTCTTGGAAGGACTGCTAGATCAGTATTTGACATCTATTGCTGCCACACATTACGATACACTAGCTGTTGACCCTGAACTTCCTTTGCTTCTGTCTGCTACGTTGGTTTCGTTATTACGAGTGCACCCTGCACTTGCAGATCATGTTGGATATCTTGGATATGTGCCCAAACTCGTGGCTGCTGTGGCTTATGAAGGAAGACGAGAAACAATGGCATCAGAGGAGGTAAACAATGGCAATTATGTGGACAAAACAGATGAATCTGATGACGGATCCACACAGCCCACTCAAACTCCCCAAGAACGTGTGCGCCTTAGTTGTTTACGTGTTCTACATCAACTGGCAGCTAGCACCACATGTGCTGAAGCTATGGCAGCGACTAGTGTAGGAACTCCTCAGGTGCGTCAAACTATTTATTTGATGTACTTATTCGTTTTACATCTAAAAGTCATGTATTCTATTTCTATCGTAAAACCATGACTATCAAGTTTTCATAAAGGACTTCATTTGCAATTTTCTCTTATATTTCTGGGAGATGTCGATTTGTAGTAGTGAGTACTTCAACTTTGACCTCTTCTTTAGAATGCATATTACTTTGAATTGAGGGAGACGGTTACTGGTCCATATTCAATACGGTTATTGAGGAGAGCATAGGGAATTCCATGCAGGAATTCCTCTAGTTATATCTTGTCACTTTGTCATGTATGGGTGCTATCACATTTTTTTAATCCCCTCATGTTTACCACTATTCAATTTTACAGGTCGTTCCCCTTCTAATGAAAGCAATAGGATGGCTAGGTGGAAGCATACTAGCTCTTGAGACACTGAAGCGTGTTGTGGTTGCTGGAAACCGAGCTAGGGATGCACTTGTTGCACAAGGACTTAAGTGAGTAACTTTTGTAGTCTTGATTTATTATATTTCGACCGATCGTAGTCTAGACTTGGTACGTGATTCATATAACATTCCATGGTTGCATTGTCCACACTTAGCAATGCCAACTAAACCTCTAACCATGCAAACTTATCCCTGACACATTTTGCCCATACACGCTTGTTGGCAGGCTATATTTGTAGATTATGTTCAGATTTGGAACGGCTGATGTTCTGATTTCAAAGGAAGATTTGTCTTCTGCTCATTTTGGTATTGACATAAGTTCTATGAATAATGTAGGGTTGGTCTTGTTGAAGTACTTCTGGGCCTTCTTGATTGGAGAGCTGGAGGAAGGAATGGGCCTTGCTCTCAGATGAAGTGGAATGAATCCGAAGCATCTATTGGCAGGGTGCTCGCGATTGAGGTTGGAACATTTTCATCAAAGATATGTTCACAGATTACTTTGTCCGAGTTCTTGTTCCCTCTTTGTTTTCAAAATATTTCTCATTGCCTGTTTTAAAGGTGAAGGAAAATTCTCTCTGCTTGTTCGACTATAATATTCATTTCATTAGGGATTAGGAAATGCTATATATTTCACCGATTAGGTCTCATGAAGGTTTCAACATTTGAATTCGTTTAAATGGTAATTTGTTCAAAGCTTGAAGGTGGTTTTGGTCCTTGGAATCCATTTTATCACATTTCAATTGTTTTATTTTAGCTGTTTTTCATTCCCTTTTTCTTGGCATGTTTGAAAATTTTGGCTTACTGCGATCCAGGTTTTGCATGCATTTGCAACGGAGGGGGCGCATTGTACTAAAGTACGTGACTTGTTAAATTCCTCAGATGTAAGTCCTCGCTCTTATCTGTATCTGATGCACTTTTTCAGATTTTGAAATCTGAATTACAAAATCTTGATCGTTCATCACTGAGTTTTAGTGAGACTGCCAATACTGATGTTGCTCTTGCAATGACAATTGCTCGTTTTTCAGGTTTGGGGTGCTTATAAGGATCAGAAACATGATCTTTTCCTCCCTTCAAATGCTCAATCCGCTGCTGCCGGAATTGCTGGGCTAATTGAGAGTTCATCATCGAGACTCACTTATGCCCTTACAGCTCCCCCACCACAACCTGCTCCATCCAGACCTGCTTCAACTTCATCCGACTTAAATGGAAGACGGAATCACCTTTCATAGTACCGGAAACACTGCGCATTTACCAAAGAGTAAAGACTCGGTACTTTTCTGTATAGCACACTGTACAGTTTTAACACTTTTTTTTTTTTACCGTCCACATGTTAATTGGTAGCTTTTGCGATTTTCCCAACGAATGGTGAGAAAAATTCTGTAAAGAGGAATTGCCCACCTGTATATAGAGCTGAGCTGATTTTTGTGTGATCTCATCATCTTGGGCAATTTTCCTCCATGTTTTATGTTGATTTTATCCTCCTATAAACTCTTGTTTCTTCGTGTTCTTGATTTCTTAATAGAAGGTTTCTTCGTTTTTCTTCGTTTCTTCGTTTTCTTTGCTCATTTGGCTTATATATTGCATTGGATGTTTGAGTGGCGCTTACTACTCAGTGACGGTTGATTTTTGGGTACTTGCAAACTAGTATAGCTGATTCTCAAACGATCAAAAGAACCAAAAAAGTCGTCATAATTTCATCCCAATTTTACTCTGATTTTGATAGATCCCATTTTTAGATGCTTAAGACGGATGCACGTGTTTGCCTTTCGCTTCTTAGTGAAGGCAAAGTACGTACGCTGTGTTAACATTCAACTTCGAGTCTATTTTTTGTTAGTTGGAATAGAAAAGATTTTGTTACAGGGCAATGGAAGTTAGGTGTGCACGCATACAAGCTCGAATCTCATGTTCCGTAAATTTTAAAGAGATTAGATTTCGATGATTCTGCAGATACCTGAAATGCAAATGTAAATATGTCATTGGGAATGGCAATTTCTTCCTACTTTGGGGTAAGGAATCCCACTTCTCAAGGCACCCCAGAATATTAACTCAGCCATTATCCATCTCCTGTATTCAATGTCACACTTCAAACCATGAATACTACAGGAAGCTGATAAATACCTAGCTTGCTCTACATGCACTTCCCACCCCAAAAGCCAAAAGCAAAAGCACACCAAAAAGAAGAAGGCAACAGCATCAAAACCCAAAAAAAAAACCATCCACAACACACAGAAAAATGGGAAGCAAGAAACTGAGATTGTTTTGCATTGTGGTGGCCTCACTGGCCGTGGCAACAATGGCAACAATGGAGGATGATGAGAAGGAGTGTGCAGACCAGATGGCGGACCTTGTGGCTTGCATTCCATTTGTGAGTGGAACGTCCAAGAAACCAACGCCCGAGTGCTGTGAAAACACCAAGAAATTGAAGGCCAACAAACCAAAGTGCTTGTGTGTTCTCATCAAAGAAAGCACTGACCCTTCCATGGGGCTTCCTGTCAATACCACTTTGGCTCTCCAGATGCCCTCAGCTTGTGACATTGATGGCAAAATCTCTGATTGCCCAAGTAAATAATGTCTCATCCAATATTTTACCTACTCTTTCATATGAATCTTAAGTCTCCAATTTTTTTAATTCAAGTGATAGTCTAATCTTAGCTTTGATGAAATCTAAATTATGGATGAAGATTTGAAGTTGGATGCAGACGAGGATGCACAGTGCCTTAGCCAACTTGTTTATGCGCATACGTGCAATTCTTGAATATGAGTTTCTTATGAAATTATATGTGATTAGCCGTCTCCAAAGTTATGGCTCGATACCTACAACATGATATCATTAGCCAATGGGGTTATCCCTAGTGGTGAGAGTAGGTAGAATGATGGATAAGAGTATGCTAAGTTCAGGGTACGAAACGCTCCAATGTAACCAAAGAACAAAGAACTTGTGACCATAAATGAAACCTTATGATACTGGAATGTGAGTCCTAGAACGTTTTATTATACCTATAACATGAAATCTTACGATATCAGAATATGAACCCCAAGAAATCCGAATATGATGAAAATATTTGAACCTTAGGCTATCTGAATACGAAGTTTAGCGATTTTTGTTTTATTTTTTTGTGTTTGCATGTTTGCAGGTATATTGAATCTGCCACCAAATTCCCCCGATGCAAAGTTTTTCAAAGAAGCAGATTCAAATTCTAGCACATCCCCTACAAGTAATGGTCATGAGTCTACACCCACTTCAGCTTCTGCTGCTGCTTCTTCTTCCACGTCCGATTCAAAGTCATCAGACTCGAAAGCGACTCCAAGCAGCACCAACAATGGAGCAGGATTAATGAAGTCGACTGACACTGGATTTTTGTCGGTGGTGACATTGGTTTCCATGGCATTGATGTTCAACTGATCATTAGAGGGTCTGTAAGGAAACATATTTTGGTTTGGTATCGGCTGGTTTATAACACCTATGCTTCCCTTTACGATTTTATCATAACAAATTGAATAACAACAATAATATTTATGGGGCTCTCTAGTAAATTACTAATAAGTAAAATTATTTATACAGCTACTTAGTATTACAGTCTAGTGGTATCCCTCTTCATTCGTAAGTGAATCTTAGGTTCGATTCTCGCCGAATGCGAATTTGAACCACATTGTTGATAGCCCATTGTGAGACTAAACCCACTCTCTCTCCCTTAGAGGAGATAATATAGTTTGTTAAAATAAAAAATAAAAAATCACTTCCACAAAAACATCATCAAATGAGCCCTAGTTCTAGTTGTGCAATTGCTCGGTAAAGGTGAAAATTAAAGGTAATTAGTAATGTATGAGAAATTAGATAAGAAACTGGGTTGACTATCTCTCTTTTTGGCAAATCATAATTTAACGTATATTTAGAAATTGATAATATTTGGCTCATTCCTTTAAAACGTAAGTATATTTACGTTCATGCCAATTACAGTTTGACGTATATACATAAAAAAATTTCATTTTGTCTTTTTAATTAGTTATTTTGACGTGTCATATGATTTGTAGAAATGAGGAATAACTCTAACCTCAGAGAGAGCCAAGCAATGTCTGCAGAAAAATCTAATAGAAAGAAAATTATATACGCACGTATCAAATTCGTTAAAAAAGATTAGGCATACCTGCTTCCTAAGTTCCAAGTACATGAGTCAAGTACTATCAAATTACAAATTATGTTTCCATCCAAACCCAATTTATTATTAATCTTTATATATAAAACAAAGAGCTCAATGAACAATGTTTTTTAGTGTCACAAGCTTCACAAAAAAAGTAATTGGACAAAAATGTCCCTCGAACAAAAAAACTTCAAAAGCAACTCATAATAATGCAACAAATGTGACAAGGGTATTTTCGTCATTTTAACAATGTTTTTTAATAATTAATTTTTTTGTACATTTTTTTTTAATAATTAGTACCTCACAATAGGTTATTAATAATGTGATTCAATTAGTTGTTTATTAAATATTATTTTCTCTATTTTTAAACACGTTTAAAACATCTTAAGAGGCGTGTAATGCAGGTTATAAAAAAAGTCTTTCGCATGCGGATAATAATGTGATTAAATTAGTTGTCAAATGATTTTTTTTTTTTTGAACAAACGATATTATCTATACTAAGGAGGAGGGGGTGGGCTTAGCCTCACAATGGTTAGCAATAATGTGATTCAATCAGTTGTTTATTAAATATTATTTAATCTATTCTTAATATAAATTCAATAGAGATCGATTTTATTATGTAAATTCAGCTGCTTTAATTGGTTTATGAGAGGTTTCTTCTAGCATGATCTAAGATTATTATTCATTTATTTCAAATATTTGACTTTCCTTTTGTTAATTTATGCATATAAATATATCTAAAATGTGTAAGTCGCGCGTACCATACCGTAATTCAAAAAAAAAATTTGCACGAGCGGACTGATGATGGCCTCAAATATTTTCAAATATGGGTAATATTGGGTCCATGAGATGTGCTTAACTGAAGCCTAACCCATTTACCAAACTTTATCCCTCCTAAACATGGTTTATTAGGCTGTCTTCTAGGATAAGCACTGTTTTGTGATGTTATTGGTCCACTTATTTTTAAATATAAAATTTCGTTTCATTGACATTATAAGGTGTAAATTAATAACATCACATAATATGTCATTTAAATTTGTTTTATTCTTGTGTCTATGCTTGCTTATATCATCAAATTTGTGAAAATACTTCTTTTTTTATTTTTTTTTCATAAAGAAGATTTTTTGTTTCTAATGTGGAAGTGATAGTGGGAGAGTGAGAATTCAAATATAAGACTTTACGACGCATGGATCAACATTCTTATTCAATTAGGTGAGTTATAAGTTTTTGCTTCATAAGAGGAGTATATTTAATAACAACAATCGTCAAACTACTTGCGTATCACATTCTGAATTATTTAGATGAAATCTAACTGTTAGAATAATAAAGGTATAAATCATGTAGTTTAAAACTTGGTGTTAATTTATGTTTGGTATGAGACCTATGTGACAACACTCGTATGGTCATATGTCCTATGAGGCTATAACACTATGGCCATTGTTGCCCTAACAAATTAATAAATTATACATCGATCATCCCTTCCCTTCCATCCAAGGCTCCTCTCTCTCTCTCTCTCTCTCTCTCTCTCTCTCTCTCGCTTCTGTGTCGTCAATATCTGTCATTGTTTATTTAACAAAATAAACATCAAATCTCTCTCTCTCTCTCTCTCGCTTCTGTGTAGTCAATATCTGTCATCGTTTATTTAACAAAATAAACATCAAATGATTGTAATTACCATTAATTGTGCCGAACTTGTAGATGATATTGCATGTTAACAGCCCTAATGTAACGCATTAGAATTTAGAGGACAGGATTCCGGCAAATTCGTATGAGCCTTTCCTGCTCCTTCCTTTTAGTTTTACATTCCGTAATCCATTCCTGGCTGCTTACAAATCTTTTACAAAATATTAGCTCAACATTAATTGTTCGAGTCTAATGAAGTCAATTACTGTCACAAAATATAACTGTTTGTTAAAAACCATGCAATGTATTGGACCATTGTTTAGTGGATTTTTTAACTTTTGCAGCATCTCCAGTAGTCTTCTGTGTCACCCTAATCTTATCTTATTTTTTTCAAGTTTTATTAGCAAGTCGGATGGTTATACCCAAATTTGTATTTAAATTGGTTTTGTAATTTAAGAGGTTAGGAGGGTTTGTCTATGCATTTAAAGTTTTGTGTTCGAATTCCCCCCGATTATGAATTTTATACCCAAAATTTATTTTACACTACCCTTAACTTTAATTCTTTAAAATAAAAAAAATAAAAAATAAACTTTGCCAAACATGGACTTTTCAATTTATCTATCTATTTAGGCCATCTCTAACCGAATGTTGGCCAGAGGGCTCGTTTTAGCCCTCTGACCCTCCAATAAATTAATATTTTAATGAACAGTGTATGGCCATATTTCTTATCATCTCAAACCGAGGGCCAAACGTCCATAGGGCTCGTTTTAGCCTTGTCAC